AAACTTTTTAAGGGCAATATATGGATAGTACTTGTAACTTTCAAGGGTTATATGTGGGTACTCATTATAACTTTTTAAGGACTATGTGGGGTAATCTCTGTAACGCCTCACAGCTTGTATCAGAGTAGTATCTGTAACTTTTCAAGGGCTATATAGGGGTGGCACGAGTAGCATTTTAAGGGCTATTTATGAGTGTAGAGATAACTTTTCAAGGCCACACTAAGCATGTTATCTGCAACTGTGGTGAACGTTCATGACAATAATTACTAGAATTTTAAGTCTCGTTACCTGCCAAGAAATGCACCGCGATCCTGATAGCTGCTAGAGTCCTGCAACTCGAACTGATTCGCAGGTGGGTGCAGGTTGAAATTTAAAACGCGTCCGGTTTTTTTCAGGTTCATTTTTCCTAACGCAATCTATTGCTGTCCAAGTGCTTTTCCATGATTGATGTAAAAATCAATGTATCATAAATCTATCGGCTCGTATTATCTATATATACTATAGCTGTGATTCCAACAGTTCTGAAACGGTTTCACACTTTATCATTCTTTTCTACAATATGAAAAAATCCATTGCAATCTAGGTAGACTATTGTACAAAAATACGTAAAAATAACTGTAAACTTAAGAGATATCGCCTCAGATGATACTGAGAAACCATGACAACATTATGTTATCATTTTATTAAAGTTTTCAAAAATATAAACCAATAATATTCTATGCAATAGTGAAAGGATAAGTGTTGATCCTTTTTGTTTTTCTGGTAGGAACATCCTGATACGAAAATAGACAATGATTTTATTCCAGCACGCATATATAAAAATAATAGTAGTGTTAACAATTGCCTCATTTCGTATTTTCGTGTCATAACATCTACGTATATCAATAAGAGATCGAAGTCAATTATACCATTGCTTTTGAAACGTGTTTTAGTGGTTACCATTTTTAAAAACTTTTATAAAAGAGTGCAACAACGTTGTCATATAGTTTCTTATTAAAATTGAAGCCATAACAACTGAGATCCTACAATTCTATAGCACTATGTTAGTTTAATAATTCACCTAACTATCAAAAGGTTTCCGTATATTTTATAGAAAAAAAATAAATTTTGAATACATTTTAATGTGTATCCCGTACCTTTATAAAAGTTTCCAATTTCTATCGAATAACTATATTCAAACGAAATAGCTAATCTAGCATAAATAAGCGAATCAGATTTTTCGGATCGGGTCGAGCTCAGGTTGTACTTTGTCAGATCGAGTCGGGCTAGGGTTTACTATTTTTCTATTTTTTTTTGACCATCTCGGTTATCATTTTAAAAACAATACTGTCTGTAAAAATAAAAACAAGTCAAGTTATTAATCTTCCCGTATTTGATTACCACCTTGATCAATCACTAATCTTAATCGTGCTAGTATTTTATCTATTATTCTTTGACATAGAGAAACACTAAATTTGTTCCACTCTTTTTTAATGTTAGTTTTCCATTGTTTGATTTGAGCGTATTCTCGTTCTGTAATTTCTCATTTAATGTATCCCAAACATTTTCTATAGGCCAAACGTTAGCTAGTTTTGCAGCACAATCTATTGGTTCAATTCGATTGATAAAAACATGTTTAACAGCATCCAAGCCCACCTGCATCCACTGTTTACGATCTTGATCCTCTTGAAAAATAATATTTTGTAAATCACTCAACTTTTTAGCTGCTTTTTCTGCTCCAGCAATTCGAATAAACTTTCCATATCGGTCACCAATAAAATACATTTTCTTATGACGATCATCACATTCTGGTCTGATCAGCTCTAACTACTCATCGATAAAAATTGGAGATTTCTTCAAAAATAATCCTTGGTAACAAATAGCATCCACAACATAAGACTTTTCTGAAACTTCTGCTTTTATTTGGTTAGTAATTCATATGAAATATCAAATTTTGATTCAGAATCAACATCTTCATTGTGTTGATTGTATTAAGGAATTAATGTGAATGTAGCACTAAAATCAATATTCAAAACATGAATCTATTCATAAAGTTTGTTTTCTTTCTTCGTGCCATATTTGTTTCTAAATCGTTTCAAAATAATAACTCATTAAATTTTTTCATTGGTAGTTAATTTTTGAACTGTTTATTGTTTCCATCATTTTAATTTTAATGAATTTTTCACTCTCCAGGCGGAACTTTTTGATGTTTTATAACCTTGATTTTGAAGTTTTGCACTGACATTTCTGATGGATGCATTTTCATTAATCGATTAGTTTCTTTTACAGCTTGAATATATTCGATTGTTGTTGTACAAGCTGCATCTGATCTCGGTAAGTCTTTTACTTTGTTTCTATTCAATATGCTCCAAACTTTGCACCTTAAAGCGTTTCTCGTTGTATAACAAGGTAGATTTTCGGACTGGAAGTGAAATGTTGTAATATCTTTTGTTTTCCATGATAGCCCACGACAAAAGTTTTGAAGAAAAACTGCGATAGGCCACGGTTTTCAAAAAACAGAATAAATGGCCTGACTTTCGCGGTTACTTAAAACCGCGGTTTCTTTGGAGCGAGGTACACAACGGTTTCTTCAGGCATGCCTAAGTCAGCAGACCTAGCTCAGGATGACCGGACCCACCTGAACTTTTCAGAAAGTCCAGCTGGGCTGCCGTTGCAGGTGGAGTGTAATGAACTTTTTCAAGTTCCATTGCCACAAAATAGTATTACAGTGAGAGATAGAATAAGAAAATGTATTTAAAATTTCTTAGAAACAGTTGGGCGTGACATCCTCTTCGTTCTTACACATTTCGTCATATTTCAATATGTATACTCTAAAGAAAATAAGGTGCCATACGAAACCATTTTTGCAACGAAAGCGAAACCTTTTTTGAGGTTTCGTAAAAACCCAAGATACGTCCAAAATGATCGTCCGAACTTTAGGAGTCTTTTCTAAGATTTCAAAGGTTTCATACGAAACCCTAAAAAGGTTTCGTTTTCGTTGCAAAATTCGAAACCTTTTTAAAGTTCCGTACTATGTGCGAAACTCTTTTTAAGTTCTGTACCGTGTTCGGAACTTTTTTTAAGTTCCGTACCGCACACGAAAGCATTTTTGGTTCCGTATCGTACCTTATTTTTTTTGAGAGTACTACACGAATTGTGTCGAGACAATAATGGTCGTTAGATGAACATTAATATCAAAAATGGCGGTTTTTCACGAGAAAACCGCGGTTTTATGAAAACCTTTCTTTAGAAAAAAGTGATAGCAAGAATCGTGACTATAGGTATAACTACACTGCCGGTATTTGATGCTTTGCAAAATTGCAGGATAAGATACCGCCGTATATGCAACTCACAGATACCGAGATACGCAATATACTAAAAAAAAGTGCCACGCGAAACTAACGAGTGTTTCGTGCTTGCTATGAAACTTAAAAGTAGTTTTGTAGGAAACCTGCAGAACCATTAAAAAAGTTTCCGAGACCGCTAAGAATCATTTTAAGGTGTCTGAGGTTATTACGAGAAGCCTTTTTTAAAGTTCCGATTTTTGAGACAAAATGGTTCGCTATGATACCTTTTTTTTCATCAAATTGCGGTTCTCAATGAGCATACCGCGGTTATTAATGAGGACACCGCGGTATTCAAAATCAGCAGTTACCACGGTTCTCAACACCACGGTTGTCTATGAGGACACCGCGGTACTCAATGCCACAGTTGGCACTGCGGTCTCTCTAAGCGTTAAGTACCGCGGTATTCCACACCCCGGTTAACCGCGGTTGTGAAAACGAAACCGCGGTGCCCTCCAGTAATACCACGGTGAGATTCAAAAAACTGCGGTTTACAGCGGTTTTTTCAAAAAAAAATTGCGTGGGAGATGTAGCTCTTTTACGTGTAATACGAAAGAGCGAAATATTTTTTAATCTTTAGCAGATGCTTGATGTGACATTCTGTGTCGATTCAGTCGTAATGCACTAATACTGACCTTTATGTACCCCTGCTGTGAACATGTACAGAAACAAAAATATGCTCTTAAAAGAAAAAAATTATGGTCTGAGACCGTGTTGACTACACAAGCCGTGGAAATAATATTTTTTCTACTATTCTTATAACTAATTTTCGTTACTGGAAAATCAGGAAAACAGTACACGACAATGTTATTATGAGTTCTCATCCATAGTAAAACCTATAGACCTCAAACTTTGTAGTTATGTAGAAGCAAGTATGTACAAATATCTGCCAAAGTTTCAAAGAGTTTGTTCTTGTTCAATGCGACAACAATGAATTTTAAAATTGTTCCACAAGTTCTGGGATACTATTTATAATGACACAGGGACGTGTAATATAATTGTGTCCTTGTAATTAACACACTTATTATATTATAATTTTGATCTTGATAATTTATGGCGACGTATATAATAGAGACGATAGATGAATTCTTATTTCAACTTTGTTAAAGGTTTATTCTTTATCTAACAGATTTGTTGCAGTACGAAGTATCGTCATGGACTTTCGCTATCCTTTCTCCCTTAAAAACATTTCCTATAGCAAAATGAATTTGACGGGGACAATCTTGACATAAGATCAAAATATGCTCGGAATATACTGAGTATATTTCAAATAGAAAAGAATTTTAAGATAGAGAAAAAAAAACGATACGAATAGCAGTAAATCGATTTAATCAGTATGGAAAGATTACTAATTAATATACGCTTTACTACGATTATGACTTATTTTATTCTATCTGATTGATAATTTCAGATGTATCTTAGTTGGATTGATTATGGAGTTTTAGTTTTGCTTTTGAGTAAGTCTACAAATAAAGACTCTTCTTAATGGAAACCATTATTCATGTAACATTTTTAGTTCTCTCGGTTAGCATTGGGATTTATCAAGGCTGTGTGAGATCAAAACAAACATCAACAAAGGAATTTCTCATTGCCGATGGTAGAATGAGAGTAATTAGATTTATCTAAAATAGATTTGTGCTTATTATTCGTTTTAATAGGTATTGCCAGCAGCAATGAGTCTATTGGCAAGTCTGACATCTGCAGCATCATTACTTGGAACGCCTGTTGATATATATTATTATGGAACAATGTTTGTTTATTACGGTATGTTATTAAGAATTTATTTTTATATAACTAATTCTATTTGATTGTTTATATAAAAAGCATTTTCATTGTTCATAGCAACATATTTAACAATAAAACTATTCATACCTAAATTTCATTATATTGGAAGTGTTAGCATTTATGCTGTATGTAAATAACTATCATGTCTATAATAATTGAATACCTATTTATAAATTCTAGTATCTTGAACAACGTTTTTCATTAACAATTCGTATTTTGGTAACATGCACTTATATTTTAGTTACTGTAAATAAATAAACGAATGAATTTCACGTTTGAAATTAGTTAATTTTGTTTTAAGATTCTTTATATGTCTATCATTTTATATGGGCCAAGTTTAGCTTTGAGTCAAGTGACTGGATTAAATATTTGGGTTGTAATTGGATCATGTGGATTAGCTTGTACTATTTATACGAGCATTGTAAGTGTGTACCAACTTTTAATTGAGACAATTTTCGAAGAAATTTAAGGGTGGAATGAAAGCAGTCATTTGGACTGATGTTATACAAGCATCGGTGATGTTTATTAGTCTGATAGTGTCGATTGTTATTGGTATATTCTTATTTAAAACAAGAATTTTTTATTTTTTTAAATTAAAAAACAGGTGTTATCGATGCTGGTGGAATATCAAAAGTATTTGAAACAGTGAAAAATGGAAACCGATTGCAATTGTCCGTGTATGAATATTTTATTTAAAGAGATTGAGAATTTAATTTTGAAGATTTTTTTTTGTGTTTTAGTATTAGTCTAGATCCATCTATTCGTTATACAATTTGGAGTGTTTTGATTGGCATGACATTTTCTAGTTTAGCTAATTATGCATGTATTCAAACTCAAGCTCAAAGATATATGTGTGTTAAAGATGTAAAAGCAGCACAAAGGTATTTTAGAATAAGGATTCGATTTTTGAATCATGTTTTAATAGAGTTGCTTGGGCTAACTATACGATGCACGCATTGATGCAAATGCTTTATGTGTGTGTCGGATGTTTAATCTATGCAAAATATAGTCAATGTGATCCTCTTCGTGCCAAACTTATTTCACGACCAGATCAAGTAGGATAATCAAGCGATTTATATTTAAAGATTAAATAATTTTTGTTCAGTTGTATCCATTGTTTGTAATAGAAACCTTTGGACGATTTCCTGGTTTGACAGGTCTTTTTATTTCGTCTATATTAAGTGCAACATTAAGTACATTTTCAAGTGGAGTAAATAGTATAGCAACAGTTATCCTTGAAGATGTTTATAAACGATTATCAAATAATCATTCAATATCTAACAAATGTCAAGTGATTGCATCTAAAGTCTTGTGTAAGTGTTATTATTTATCCCCTCATCATTTTATTTCTCGTCTGTGTAGCGGTGATAATTGGTTGTCTGACAATATTTCTGGCATTTGTTGTATCTTATATGAAAAGCAACATCATTACAGTCAGTATACTCTAGATTTCTTTAGTTGTTGATCACTTTTCTCTTTTATTTAGATATTTTATCAAATATTTGGTGCATTTGCAGCTCCTATTCTTGGTGTTTATTTACTTGGATTATTTTCATCACGAGTTAAAAGTCGAGTGAATATAGAGATTTTATTTCTAGAATAGATGATTAATGATTTCCGTTGATATCCATAGAGTGTTCTTGTTGCCTTTTTCCTTTGCTTTGTATTTCAAACTGTCATGCTTGTTGGTTCTATAGTCACTGTCAAACCAGCAAATAAGCAGGGGGGACAATTACCTACTTCCGTTGTCGGATGTGTACCATCAGTTAATGTCACTCTTTCACTAACAACAAATCAAAGGTAACGATATTTGAAATAAGTCAATAGTAAAAAATAACTAATTTTTTTGTTTGTTTATTAGTTCTAATTTGTTGGTATCTCTATTTTCAATATCTCCTTTTTGGTTTATTTTTAATGGTACTATTATCACTGTTATTTCTGGAATGATCTGTACCTTTATTTTTGGTAAAAAATTTATAGTCATGAGAAGGACTTGGTTGCAAATTGAATTAATATCTTTTTATGTAGATTTGAAGAATTCCAAAATAGTTGATGCATCATTACTAGTGTCTCGAAAAGAGATATTCTCGTGTGGCTCATCAGAAAAAGTGAGCATTCTTATAGGCCAGTTTTCAATTAATAGTCTTCCACGCTCTTTTAGAAAACAATAAAACGACCAGTAACTCAAAAAGACGATGGAACTCCAATGAATGATATTGCGATTGAACACGACTCTATGCTGTAGACTTGAACTGTAGTTTTCTTGTAAAACAAAATCGAGATTAGCAGATAATCAAAGTTGACATTCTCTATTTTCATGTATATAGCTCTGGAGAATCATCGATCAATGTTGGTATGAATTATGTTCTCTATGAGTAAAATGATTGGCTTTTTTCAAACAGTTTATTTGATTGTTCGAATATTGGCGACAATAAAACCAAAATATTCTGAACAACGGCGATACTTTTTAGCGCGCTGGAAAAATTCATTCATAGAGAACTTGCTGATAGGTCGCAAAGGAGCAGACATCCATTGCACGGTGTCAAAATAGCTTTCATATAGCTATCAACTGAACAAACATCTTAGGCTGCTTTAGTTAAATACTATGTTAGTTGAAGTGGGGAAAAGAGTAAAGAATCAATACAAAATAAGTTTTGTTTTAAAGTAAATTTTTAATTTAGTCTTCCTCAGACAAAAAAGTGTGGGTGTGACCGTGTGGATATGGGTGTAGACCATGTCTCGAAGATTCATCCACACCCACACCGTCGTTTTCAATTCTGAAAGCTTCAAAAAAATATCGTCCTATGTCTTGACTATTCTCTTTTGTAGCTATGAGGGTGTGTGCGAGTGTGGGTGTGGGTGTGGGGTGCGAGTGGATGTGAGTGTGGTTATGGTTGTCACGAATGGATACCCACACCCAGCACTCACACCCACATCCACACCCATATCCACATCCACACCCACACCCACATCCACATCCACACCCATATCCACACCCACCCACACCCACACCCCACGCCCACGCCCACCCACACCCACCCACACCCCACCCACACTCACACCCACACCCACACCCACACCCTCCATATTCTGTTTTTGTTGTTTTTCTTGTATAAGATATTCAGCTAGTATAGCTGAAAATAAAATAAATATTATAACCG